TGCATGTGTAGTTCCCACCGTAAAGCATGGAGGAGGAGATGTTATGGTGTGGGGGTGCTTTGCTGGTGACACAGTCTGTGATTTATTTAGAATTCAAGGCACACTTAACCAGCATGGCTACCACAGCATTCTGCAGCGATATGCCATCCCATCTGGTTTGGGCTTAGTGGGACCATCATTTGTTTTTCAATAGGACCATGACCCAACACACCTCCAGGCTATTTTACCAAGAAGGAGAGTGATGGAGTGCTGCATCAGATCACCTGGCCTCCGCAATCCCCCGACCTCAACCAAATAGAGATGGTTTGGGATGAGTCGGACGGCAGAGTGAAGGAAAAGCAGCAAACAAGTGCTCAGCATATGTGGGAACTCCTTCAAGACTGTTGGAAGAGCATTCCAGGTGAAGCTGGTTGAAAGAATGCCAAGAGTATGCAAAGCTGTCATCAAGGCAAAGGATGGCTGTTTGAAGAATCTCAAATATAAAACATATTTCGATTTGTTTAACACATTTTTGGTTAGTACATGATTCCATATGTGTTATTTCATAGTTTTGACATCTTCACTATTATTCTACAATGTAGAAAATAGTAAAAATAAAGAAGAACCCTTGAATGAGTAGGTGTTCTAAAACTTTTGACCGGTAGTGTCTCTTTTTTAGATTACTTGTTAAACAAAATCTCTTTCTCTGAGTAATTGTATTAGTATACAATAATATAGTTTTGCTCATCTTTATCAAGGTTGCCAATCATTTTAGACGTGACTGTATATCTCTATACCTATCACTAACTCTTTATCTGTATGTCATTCTGAAAGCATAAAGAGCATTATGTCTCTATTCATCTCTATATATCAATATATCTATTGGTATCTCTTTATTTATCCATCATTTTGAAAGGATTACAGAGACAAAACATTATATAATTATAAAGATAGATGGATATCATTATCTATAGCTCTATCAACTACCTATTGTACAAAGTTCATTCAAACCATGGTAAAGGATATCTAAAAGTACATAACATATTAGGTAGGTTTCCAATTCAATTTACCTGGCGAGCTGGGACAGTTCTTTCTGTGCGAGAGGATTCCCGTGCTTCCCCAAAAGGTTCTTGACCAGTTTTAGCCGTGTCTATACACGACACACAATTATATACATTTTTGCAGGGAAATTGCATTGGGGAATGTGATTTGTTTACTGTATGGCTACAATTGTAAATGGAATTAATAGGTTTCTTAACATACCTCTTCTGTTGGTAAAGCCACGTACACCCGTTTTGCAAAACGTCTGTGAATAGAAACAGTTTGAGAACGTGTTGCCATTGGGTAGGCCTTGAAGATTTGAAGGACAATTCCACCACTTTATAACCAGTTATTATGCTGCTAGGATACACTGAGTGTACAAAACATTAGAAACACCTGCTCTTTCCATGACATAGTGAATCCAGGTGAAAGCTTTTATTCCTTATTGATGTCACTTGCTAAATCCACTTAAAATCAGTGTAGATGAAGGGGAGGAGACAGGTTAAAGAAGGATTTTTAAGCCTTGAGACAAAAAAATACATGGATTGTGTATGTGTGCCATTCAGAGGGTGACAAAATATTTAAGTGCCTTTGAATGGGGTATGGTAGTGTGTGCCAGGCGCACCGGTTTGTCTGTGTCAAGAACTGCAACGCTGCTGGGTTTTTCACGCTCAACAGTTTCCCGTGTGTATTAAGAATGGTCCACCACCCAAAGGACATCAAGCCAGCTTGACACAACTGTGGGAAGCATTGGAGTCAACATGGGCCAGCATCCCTGTGGAACACCTTATAGAGTCCATGCCCTGACAAATTCAGGCTGTTCTGAGGGCAAAAGGGTGTGCAACTTAGACCAAAGGACTCTCAGTGTATATGAACTACTGTACGATTTGATACACATTTTGATGTTTTATAGTTTTTGTTAGTCATACTGCACGATTCCTAGTTTGTCATTTTTTAAGCTTCTGCATTGCCCTAGTCTACAGTATACTCAAATCACATTTTATTTGTCACATGTGCCAAATACAACCTTCCAGTGAAATGCTTACTTACAAGCCCTAAACCAACAACGCAGAATTTATTTTAAAGTAAGTAAGAAAATATTTGCTAAAAAATATAGAAATAAACTAAAGTACGAAAAAAAGTAAACAATTCCCAGGGTACATTTCACCTCCCACGATGCAATGCTCTGCCCAGTCTGCAGTTAGCTTAGCTGGCTAGCAAGCCAAGACGAAGCTAATGTCATAAGTTAAGTGCATTTCCCATTCCTTTTGGGTTGTAATCATATATTGTAATGCTTCCTGGAATATCATTCTGAATATATGTTAATGTTATTATCACCAATCAACTGCATTACACTCAAAATATATTCTAATTTAGATGCCAACGAATGCTAACCATAAGTTACTGTATCTGATGGTTAGCTAGCATGCTAGCTAGCCTGACTTCTACATCCAAAATAAGTGTTTCCAACAATAACAGTCAAGTTTAATAATATAATAATAATATGCCATTTAGCAGACGCTTTTATCCAAAGCGACTTACAGTCATGCGTGCATACATTTTTTTTTGTGTATGGGTGGTCCCGGGGATCGAACCCACAACCTTGGTGTTACAAGCGCCGTGCTCTACCAGCTGTCATAATCTTAGCGACTGTCTTAAACAAATGTCCAAACAACATGTAGGCCTGTTAGAACAACATTTATTATGACATTTACAGGCAAATCACTATGGAATCCTAGTCTCATGATTGAAGCCTGTATCTTTGGTGCAAACATTAGCAATGCTAGCTAAGTAGCTAACCCTGCTGCATCTGAAAAAGTGTTTTTCAACATTAACAGCAAAATACAGCCTTAGCGACTGTCCAAGCAACCATCCAGCTACACTGTAGACCTATTAGAACTAATAAAAAGTATGAAGTTTACAAGTAATTCACTACGAAAATATAGGCTATTTGGAAAGGGCGCAATGGCCGCCGGAGCTGCAACTTCATCAGTGATGGTGGGAGTGGTTCTGCCGAATGAGCCTTGAACAACAGAAAAATATTGGAGTACGCAGACTATAAATATCATTCTATAGGTTTTTGAGCGTCACCTTGCGAGCAAAACATTTTAGCAGCCTCGCTCATGACAGCGAAGAGAAACATTTACGTTTTAAAGTTCATTTTCTGCTATTTTAAACATTTCGCAATGGGGAGGAGAGAAGATTTTGCAATTTTGTAACTCACTTCATGCAATTCTACTCATTTTGCCATGGGGCGGAGAGAAAAATGTGCAGTTTTACAGCTAAATTCCTTCAATTCTACACATTTTGCCATAGGGTGGAGGCAAATGTTTGCAGTTTTTAATATGATAACTGATGATCAATGGGCCGCACCCCGGTCGGTAATTTGATCATGCTTACTACAAGTTCAGATAGCTGGCTGCTAGACTAACTTACATTTACATTACATTTTAGTCATTTAGCAGACGCTCTTATCCAGAGCGACTTACAGTTTTAGTGAGTGCATGCATTTTTCAACATCTGCTAACCATGTGTATGTGACCAATACATTTGATTTGATTTAGAAGCAAGAGGAAAGAATGTTAATGAATGCCTTATTGCTTAACATTGGTCACAAATCTGTTTGTCCGTAAGCCCAGGGCTTTGGAATACAAGTGTAAATCATCAGCTGAGGGCTGAGTTTAGCCCAGGGTTAACAAACGCTTGTGTGAACACTGGATATGCTAGCGCAGAGCCATTCTTAGATAGCCTGGGGTTAGGAACAATGCAGTGTGAAAAGGCCTTTTAACATGCATTGCTGGCTATCATCTCGTCTATAATATAAGGTGTATGGCCAGAAAATGTCCCTAAATATGCTAAGGGGTGCTCGATGGCTGCTTTCAGGACAAAAAAAACTATTTTATGTTTAGGCCTACCCACCCCCCAATACATTACTAGAGGAGTAGGAGTTTTGACTTTTCTGTGATCCACTAATATGTCTGCCACAGCTCACGCAGGCACGCTGATTCTGAACCACATGGCATGACGTACTGCTTGATGTGTATAGCAACGCAGTCTAGGAAGCAGTTTTAAAGAGTTAGTATTCAACATCAGAAGAGACATGTCTCAGTTACAAACAAGGTTCTTTACGGACAACAAAAAGTAAGTATTTATTGCTGAATTGTGAAGATAGCTTACTGGCAAAAGTGAAAGCTAACTGGCTATCTAGCTAACTTGCTAGCGAGCATGAAGGAGAACTCTATGCGAGTGTTAGCCATGCTGTTGTTAATCATATTGTATCCTTAGTTTGTATCCTAACTTGTATCCTAACTTGTATCCTAACTTGTATCCTAACTTGTATCCTAACTTACCAATCTAAAACATTTTAGCTGACATGGACTAATTGAGTGACTGCTGATGCACAACCAAATAAAAAAAGTATATTATTCTAACTCTCAACAGTGAGTTGAGACCCCCCAAAATATATTATATAAATAAAAATA